GTTCCCTTCCCCCGGATTACTGCAATACTGCACACTTCTACAGGCAACACCTGGTGCTGCTGCACACAGGCAGCTCCAAAGAGCAATCTGATGCTTGTCTCACTGACGGCTAGCCCCACCCATGTAACACACAGCCCTTCTGAGCCCCTTTAACTACTCACTTGGACCACTTAAGCATTGTTTAACCATTGTTTTGCAAGGGCTTTTCTAAGAGGATCAGGTTATTTTCGCAGGTCCTGCCAATAACCAGTCCCGATGCATCCAGGCCTGTTCAGCCACCGTCAGATTTTTTAATGAGAAGAATTTCCCCTTCTCAGCAGGTCACTCTCATTATAAATTACCCACTCCAGCACGATGGAATGTGTGCAGTTCAAATGAGGGATTGCAAGGGGCAAATTTTACTAATGAAAGGATTGGCTTTTCTTTAAATTAAAGTGGGGGTGGGGAGGAAAGAAATTCAACATTTTCAGTTTTAAAATGAGCCAATTGCATGCATTTTAATAATACAGGACGGAGAAACCAAATTGAACAGGACTGAAGCATTACACAGTCTGAACTAAGCGTCGGTACCTTAAAGCATATTTCATAGGCAGGTTCAAAACTACATTCTACTATTTCACTGCCGTATTTGGTATGCACAATGGACGCACAGCGTTCGCTGTTCATCTGTCTTCACTCCAACAGCAACAGTCCTCTGGAGGCAAGCATTGTATGTGTTATAATGAGTCGTGTGCACTATAGCAACTGCCCCGTAACACAGTATGAGAAAAGAAAGTCAGGAGTCAAAGTTCAGCTGCCTTACAGTAGAAACCACACTCTTAACTGCAGGCTTCATAATGAGGGTCTGGTTATACCCCAGAAAGTTCTAGACAATGAACCAAATCTACTAGTTGCACCTTAAACCACTTTGCACCTCCCGGTCCACTTTTTGTTCTCTGACTGTCTCAATAAAAGAAAATCTGGCACAATCCTAAAGTGCAGATAGAGTCAGAATGAAATAAATTGTAAGATTTTTGCAGTATTCTATTTGTTACTGCATTCATTTTGCTCAAATAGCCAGCAGACCTAGATGCTGTTATTGATGGATCTTGGTTATCTAGGGGTTCTCAACACTGTCTGTGACAATCGGATCCATTCAGTCTGAAAGTAACATTTTCTTAGGTTCTTGCAGGGTCAGTGGATATCAGAGATATCTTACCCAGGGTGAAACAGGTTAACAATCCCACATGAAGCAGCTCCTGCATTTTCAAAATTCCACTAACAGCACTTTACCTAATGATTAGTGATGGCAGCTGAAGCATAGCATATTGGCTCAAACACTGCTAACCACACAAGCATTCAGAAAGTGTGCCGAATGACTGCTTGTGACCCAGTGACTGATTCACAAAGTATCCATACATTCTGCAGCATTTCTGTGTCAGCCTGGTGTTCTGTTTGCAGTCTCAAAGTTGGGTAGTCCCAGTTCTACAGTGAGTTGCCACAAACTGGTGGATCATGCAATAATTCCATATCATTCAGAGCAGAAAGTGACCATTCAGCGCCTCCAGCCTGTACTGACTGTTTGAAACAGTTACCCAATTAATCCCATTTCCCAGCCCTTGTGTCAAAGCCCTGACATTTACCCTCCACATGACTCTGCACACAACACAGGAGTCTAGTTCATCAGCAAGTTATGATCTTTCTGGCATTCTTGCTCTGTGGCTGCGATTCAGAGGTGTGAGATCTAGCACAATGTGAATATAAAACAATACAAGTCTGTGTACAAAGAGAAACCCAACACCATGCAAACATTTCAGGAAACGCACTGGCCTCCCAATGTCTTATTATCTTCAGTTTGACAAAGTTGCACTTTATGGTCACAGAGAAAGAGCTACATAAATCCCTGGGTCAAGGGAATGGGATCAGAAGAATTACACCCTTCCCCCAATTTGTTCCTATGGGCTGGAGATATACAGATAAACAGATAAAAGAAGAAGGTACTATTCAGTGCAGAACAATAAGTATGTGGTACGACATGTTCTTTATTTGTTGCCCTGTTGTGGGCAGTGCAAGCATTTACTGCTGAAGCCTAATGAAAGAACTTGGGTTTACATAGTGTCTTTAACGTATTAAAATTGAGCTCTACATAAAGACATTATCAAGTAAATCTTGACACTGAACTATGTAAGCCATAAAGTCATACAGCATGGAAACAGACTCTTCAGTCCAACCAGTCCATGCCGACTGTGATCCCAAACTAAACTAGTCCAACTTGCCCTCGTTTAGCCCATATCCCTCCAAACCTTTCCTATTCAAATATTGTAACTGTACCTGCATCCACCACTTTCTGTGGCAGTTTGTTCCACACACGAACCACTTTGCGTGTAAAAAAGTTGCCCCTCATGTCCTTTTCTCCCTTCTCACCTTCAAAAGATGCCCCCTAGTTTTGAACTCCCCCACCCTAGGGAAAAGACCCTTGTCACTCACCTTATCTATGTTTCTCATGATTTTATAAACCTCAATAAGGTCACCCCTCAACCTCCTACACTCCAGTGAAAAGAGTCCCAGTCTATCCAGCTTAATTTTATAACACAAGCCCTCCATTCCCAGCAACATCCTGGTAAATCATTTTTGAACCCTCTCCAATTTAATAACATCCTTCTTATAACAGGTCAACCACAACTGGACATTGTTGTCCAGAAGAGGCCTCACCAATGTCCTGTACAACCTCAACATGGCGTCCCAACTCCTATACTCAAAGGTCTGAATAATGAAGGCAAGCGTGCTAAATCACTTCTTAATTACCCCATCTACTTGTGATATACGGTGATTTTAAATCAAATGACCAAAAGTTCAGTTGGAGAGGTAGATTTTGAGAACCTTCTGAAGGAGAAAGTAAAATAAAAGCAATCTTACCATGATTGTTAAGGGAGTGGCTGGCTGGGCCATTTCATTGGGTTTTAAATCAACCCAACGGAATGGGGCTGTAGACCAGACCTCATGTTTTCTGTGCATGGAAGGATTTAGTGAACTAGTTAGGTTTTAACAACAAATATTTTCCTCTGATCAGTTATAAGAAGGCCTTCCTCTGTATATTCAAATGTAATCTCCTCCAACGTTGGTCCTTTATCTCTCCTTTTGTGAAGGTGAAAAAGTGTGCTGAGCAATGAATCCTAGTGCAGTATTGAAATCTCGAGAGACTGACCTTATGTTGCATACACATCACAAGTAGGTCACTTGGCCCAACCAGTGCACTCACACTCCACTCAAGTCTTCTCTCAGTCTTCCTTATTTAACTCCATCAGCAACATATTCTTCTATTCCTTTCTCCCTTGTGTGCTTATTTTGCTTCTCCTGAAATTTGCCTCAATTACCTCCTGTAAATTCCAGATTCTCATCACTCACTGAGTAAAGAAGGTCTGCCAGAATTCCTTACTGAATTTCTTGGTAAATTTCCTTTATTCTTTTATAGGATGACTATATCACTGACTAGGCCAGCATGTATCTCCCAACCTTAATTACCCTTGAACTGAAGACAATTGAAAGGCAACCAATGAATATGGATTCAGATTGGGCAAGGACAGCAGATTTCTTCCCTAAAGAAAGGACACTCGTGAACCAGGACTTTTTTTTTAACAACAATTGACAATCGTTGTCATTAGACTAGCATTTTTTATCACAAGGCTTACTAATTGTATTTAAAATCTACCAGCTACCATGACAGGATTTGAACTGATGGCCCCAGAGCATTAGCTGGGTCTCTGGATAACTGGTCCAATGACATCCTCATTATACCACCATCTCCCTCTTCCATATGTTGATATGGCTTACTACCTTATATTGATAGCTCCTTGTTTGTTCTACCCCAAAATTAGAAATATTTTCTCTTTGTCTACTCTATCAAAGGAATCTGTCTTCCTCCCCCTCACCTGATAGCTTTAGTCTTGCTGTTCCAATATCATCCTCATAAATCCTCTCCAGTGTTTTTATAATCTGACAATTGGAACTATAAACTGTAGTCCAGGTGTGGTCTAATCAAGGTTTTATAGAAGTTTGGCATCACATTTCTGCAATACTTCTAGCAATAAACCCTAGTACTTCCTTGTGCTTTTTTCCAAAAGGTATTTTAAACCAAACTACTTCTTTTATTGATCCCTGTGTTTGTGCTCAAATCCCTTTGCTTCTCTAAACCATTTAAATTCTCATTTTCTTGACTCATTCTAATGAAAATTTTGCCAATGAGTAGACAGTCTTTCAAAGACTAGTCACGGTAACCATTGAATATTGCTTTGAAGATGGACTGTAAAGAAATGGGTTAAGGAGATAATCATGGAATTAAAGCAGGTTAAATGGATTGCTGTTATTTGCAAAAGCTTGCAAAACTGATATGAAGTCATTTTGTTCACTGGTCAACGTCTGTCCTCAGTCATGCCCTATGCCATCACTAGTAAGCAACAAAATACCATGTTTTCCAACACCTTGTTGCAGTTTGGAGACAGTAGCATATAGAGATGCTGTCTAACTCAATGACCTCCGGTAAGGATCCAAACATATGAAGGTTGGAAGGCCAGATGAGGGGGTTGGTTTAACTTCAATGGGAGGAAGTGAACCCTTGAAGCAAGTTCCCAGTTATTGGAAGAATAGGAGATGTTAGTAGTATTTGTGTCAAATATTTAAAAGACAAACATTAATTCCTTTTACATCACTGAGCATGCTATCAGCACCAATGACTCATTCATATAGTTCCTTTGTTACATGGCAGTTTTTGGTTTGTCACAAGTAACCATTTACAAACAAGGGTCAGGTTATACTGCAGTTTTGATTTAACAAAGTTTTCTTTTGTTGCTGGAACATTAAAAGATAAGCACAGAAATTATATGCTGGATAATGGCACAGTCACTGTGTTCCCTATTATGCAATGCATTGAAAGTTACCAAGATCAAGTAAATGGTAAAATCACTGTAGTCATTGCAGACTACAGCGCAGCTCTCTCATTAGATCAAGAAGAATCATTCACATACCTTTATTTGAGCAAGCTGATCAGCTGTCTTGTCCCGAATAACGAGAGCCTGAGATAAATAGGCATCCAGGTCCTCCCAACAGATCGTGTTTACCTAAAACAGTCAATGAAGCATTTTTAAACATCAAGTTCTGATTCCACTCCAACACTTGAGTCCAAAAATAAAAGCAGGCAGTGCAGCTTTGATGAGATTCTGCAATGTCTAAGATGCCACTTTTGGATTAGATATTAAACTGAGGCTCCATCTGTCAGCTCAGGTGGATGCAATAGATGTTCTATTTCAAAGAACAGCAGGCTAGTTATGCCTGCTCCATATTTATCCCTCAAACAGCATCACAAAAAAAAATCTAGTCATTTTCACCTTACTGTTTGACAGGGATTGCTGTGCACAACATTGGCTGCTACACTTCCCACATTACAAAAGTGATCACACTCTAGAAGTACTTTCATTTGCTATAAGTCGCTTTGAGATGGTTGGTGGACATGAAAAATCGCTATATGAATGTCAGTTTTTCTTCCTGTCATAAGCATCATGCTGAGTTGTTCCACTCTACCAGGAGATCATGCTGAATCTGATCCTTCTGTGGTTACGACCTCCCAAGAGTGTTATGACTTTCATTTCCTTATTTGAATCACTTAACGTCAACAAGTTCAGGTGAGCACAACCTTTCAGGGTATCTCCAACACTTTCAGTCATGAAATCGTCTTCTATTATGTTTACCAACTCATGACTCTGGATCATTTTACGGAGTCTCAGTTTATATTTAATTGATTGACATTTCACTAAATTAACAATCCTGTTTACACGTACTACTTTATCTCATCATAGAGCAAGCTCTCCTTTAATGTCAACCCAGATGCAGTAACGTACTTCTGCAATCTCTCAGACATTCACAATAATTTCAATTCAACCAAGTCTTCCCCTTCCAGGTTTTATTTTGCTCATCTTCTTTAATTTTTTTTTTAAATGGTCCCCTCCAATCCTTCTGCTGCATTTTTCAAATGATGTGATCTCTATTGCTGCC